TTTTTTCAGTTTTTGGCCAGGGCTAGGTTTGAACCTGCCACCTCCGGTATATGAGGCCGGTGCCCTACTCTTTGAGCCACAGGTGCCACCTGACCAAGAAGTCCCTTTCAACTATAAAAACCTATTATTTTGATCTTCTGAAATAAAATATACACATGATGTTTGTGTGTTTGTGTATCATTTTCTGTTATATTCTGTTCAGAGGAAAAATTAGAACTGCAAATAGTTTTACAAACACATTTTTCCTTGTTATTATAAAGACGTGCTTGATAATTTGATTTTGAGACTTTTTCCCTCTTATTTGGATAAGTTTGATGTAATTGAAAGCTTTCCAGGAATGATGCAATTATCCCTTTTAGGGTTTTTCTGCTAGTGTACTTATTTATAGAACAAATTGTCATACCAAAGACAATCCTATAATTAAACGAGTTTTATAGAAAAATACTACACTTGATCTTAGCCAAACGGCCGAGAAGCGATAATTTTGGAGAAAAATAAAAGCAAACAATTTAGATGATAGTAATTCATTCATTGATTCAAAAAAATGCATCAAGCTGGGGGTGAGGGCTCTCATGACCGTAATCCCAGTACTTGGGGAGGCCAAGGTGGGAAGATTGCTTGAGGCCAGGAGCTTGAGACTAGCCTAGGAAGCAACATAAGAAGACCTTATCTCTACCAAAAAATAAATTTAAAAACTAGCTGGGTATGGTGGCACCTGCTTGTAGTCTCAGCTACTTGGGAGGCTGAGGCAGGAGGATTGCTAGAACCCAGGAGGTCAAGGTTACAGTTAGTTATGATCATGCCACTGTACTCCAGTCTGGCCAACAAAGTGAGACCCTGTCTCTAAATAAACAAACAAAATGCATAGAATATCTACTGTCTATCAGGGGTTGTGCTAATCCCTGGATGACTGAGATATGATCCTCGTCCTCAAATTTAACACATAATATAATGTGGTAGGCATTGTAATAGATATATGAACAAAGACTTAATACATGCACAGAAGAGGGAGTGACTTAATTTCCCTGGAGTCATTGAAAGCTGTTTTACTGAGAAGCTCAAGGGTTAGTGTGAGTTTTCCATATGAGAAGGAAAAGCATGTGTGCAGACAAGGGAGCTGTGAAAACTGAATATTAAGTATATATTTGTGGAAGGAGAGGGGAAATGGATGATGACTCCAAAGAAGTAGTGAGTTAGGGATGATTTTGGAAGGCATTGTATGAATGCCGAGGTGTTTTGTCTTGCAGTCCTCTCTGAACTCTAACCTTGCATGCATTAGTCATATTTTTGTGTTCTTCATGTTTTTCAAAGGGTAAATTGACCTTGCCACAAAGAAAAGATATAGCTGCCATGATTTGCCCCATAGTTTATCTGAACCATCAGTCTCTTGAACTGCAGGCGTTAGGTAGAAGGAAATCACTTAGGAATGAGAAGGCTAGGGGATATGTGGGCATAGGAGACTGATGATACCGCAACAGAGAAGAGCTGAGCACAGCTTTTTGCTTTGAAAAGGTCAATCTTTTTTAACATTCTAAAGTTCTTTGAGGCTAGGAGCAGACAAGCCACTGTATTCCTCACATTTCAGAAGGATAAAGGGCCATGCGCTGTATCCAGTTGCCTTGCAGGAGGTTTGAGACATACTTTTTCCTTCTGTTTGCTCAATAGGAATTAGTACAGCTTTGGGGACTAGCATCAAGAAGTTCCAGGGCTGAAAAATTCACCTATAGCTCCCTTAAGCTACGTTTTTGTGAACAGATTAAACGATTGCTACCTTTTAAAAGACAGACTTAGTGAGATACAGTTGATATACAAAGAAGTGCATATTATTTAATGTGTACAATGAGATATAGATCGTATGTGACAGTTTGGACATAGTGCACTTGAGTTTCCCAAAGTTTCCTTGTGTTCTTTTTTTTAAAACTCTTAACGCGAGATTTACCCTCTTATATTTTTGGAGTATACTCTATGGTATGATTAGCGTTATGTTGTACGGCAGATCTCTAGAACTTATTCTGGATGATGTCTTTCTTACCAGTTGGGTCACTCCTTTGCTTTCAGATCCGCAGTGGGAAACGGAGTTATGAAGCTCTTTTTGATTTGTCAGAAAAAACTGTCCTCTCTGCTTTTTTTTTTCACCAGCTGCTCAATCGTTTTGTAGTTGGGGATAATGAACAAAATGCTTAAAGCCACTTGGCACATAATAACTGACTAATTTTCAAAGAACGGTTTGTAGTATTAAACTTATTGTTCTTTCTTTTGAACCTTTTATTGGTGTACACTCTGAGTGGGGTGCTCTAATAGATAGCCTTTAGTATGCTATTGGTCTCTTTCTATTCGTTTTATAAATCATGATACCTCAGTAGCCCTTCGGAGATAAAATATGCAGCCACTCTTACAAATAAAATATTACTTGTTGCTTTATGTTTGTTCTGTCAGTGAACATCCAACCCTGTGTGTGTGTTC